ATCTCTAATGATTTATGGTGAATGATAGAGGCCCATCACCTGCTGTGGTTTCCTAGGATGGGGAGGATAAACTACCCTGTTATCATGGCCCAGCACTAACAATGAGCAGTTAGCATTCAGGGGAGTGCTCACTGCTCAGATAAGCACTGAGCTTCTTGCCTTTAAAGAAGGCTGAAAGACAGGGATTTTCCCCCCAACTGAATACACACAGATGGTTTTCTGCTGTAAAAAAAATGTATTTTGTTAGAAAAATGAGGAAGAAAGTGTATTATTTCTGCCAAACCATGCATAAAAGTATAATCTTTCTGGGTTTTAACTGCAACATTCATTCTACATAAATCAAGCTAATTGGGAGAATCAGGATTACACATATCAGTAACAGGTTTCCTGTTTTCTTGTTAGGTGAATAGAGATGCTTTGAATTCTTGTTCATTATTTAAAACAAAGAAAAAGTCATTACCTTTTGTAGAATTTGGTGGATTTAAAAAAATAACTCTTTGAGTTCAATAAATATTTTCATAAATAAATATTTGCCTTTAAAAGTAAAAATCTTCCTTTCCCCTATCTGATATTTTTGCTTGCTTGCACCTATTGTTGTCATGCAGCAGAATCATACACCTTTGATTTTTCATATTTAAACATATTCTAAAAGGCAATATTTGGAAATACTGAAAGAAAAATGTTGCTTGTAAACAGAGGTAAGGAATCTGAATTGTTTATCTGGTGTCAGTATTAGCAAGTTTCTATACTTTTTGGTCCTTTGTGGTGATTTTTCAAACCTAGAATAAATAGTTTTAGAGCCAAATTGCACAGAATAATCCTAAACTAGAGCAAGAACAGCTGAAAGCTCTGATTTACTTGGCATCTTCATCTCCCACCAGGTTCAGGAAGGGAATTCAGGAATTTCAGAAGAAAAATTAATTCCTAATGAAGAACAATGTGTTATCCTATTTAATTTCTCTTGAGCAAGCATGGACATAACTCAATACAAGCATGAACATAACTCAATATACAACCAAAAAATGGTTTTGTTTGGAAGGAACCATAAAGACCATCTAGTTCCAACCCCTGTCTCCAGGGTCTGGACACCTTCCTCGAGACCAGGTTGCTCAGAGGCCCATCCAGCCTGGCCTTGAACACTTCCAGGAGTAGGGTATTCAAACTTCTTTGGACATCCTCTTCCAGTGCCTCACTACTCTAAGTAAATATTTTCTTCTGTATGTCTAAACCTAATTTTCCCCTTTTTCAGTCTGTACCCATTGCTCCCTGTCCTATCACTACAGTTCCTGATGAAGAGTACCTGCCCAGCTTCAGTGTAGTCCCTCTTCAGACACTGGGTCTGTACCTGTTTAATGTTACTTTTGCATTGCACACCAATTCAGGAAATGACAGCCACATATTTTTTTAGTGATTCTCTTCCTGGTAGCACTTGTGACCCAGGAGGAAAGCAGAGCTGTGCTGGGGGAACAGCAGTAGTGCCCCACAGTGTCACACACACATCCTGACCCACACGCCCACCCTGTAGATAATGACACAACTGCCATGTGCCACACAGGACAGGGCAGACTGAACCCAAAGGCTGCCTGGTTCAAAGGGAATTTCACCTGTCCACTTTTAGACGTGGACCCAGTGTGGAAAATTCCTCAGTCTCCCAGGAGCCAGGCATTTCAGGGGCATTGAAACGTAGCATTCCTTAAAAAACATGGTCTGAATCACTACTGCAATGCTTCCAGTGCTGATGGAGAGAGCTGAAAGGAGGGTGGACAGCCACCCCAGGGTCACAGCCAGGGACTGCAAAGCCTCCCAGGACTGGGCAGTACCTGAGTGCTGGAGTTGCCTGCCAGGATTTTATCTTGAGCACAGGATTTCTTGGGTTATGCTTGGGCACGGGTTTTATCTTTGGCACTTTGAAAATCTACCAAACAAACAAAACGCTGCAGACAACGCTCCAGGTTCAAAGAATCAGCACTGCAGCTGTGCCAGCAAACACCGGGAGAGCCCTAGATAAGGGATCAGGCTGCTGCAAGAGTGTAAAGTACATCGTGTTTTTGAAACCAAGGTAATGAGACAAGGAGTGAGAAACACACATTAAAAATTGCAGCTACAAATATTTCAGTTACATGCTGGCATATTTCAGAAAACTTTCTTGAATCTTCCTTCCTTCCCTGATCTCAACTGCTGCATTGATATATTTAATATGAGGATGAAATAGAAACAAGTGCAACTTCAGGTTTGCTTTTTCAATGGTGTTATGGTACTAAATGCAAGTTTGTGAAATATGTTTCAAAATACTTCTTGCAAGGAACTTTTTTCATTATATTTTTTTCCACAGACCCTTCAAATTTTCTTAAAGATATTGAACAGGGAGCCAGGGATCTGATTATATCAAAGAATGTTAATGAAAACTTACATCTCATTTGAAAAGACTAGATATAATTTTCTAAATATTAAAAGAACAGGTATGTGTCTTAGATTCTGATGAAAAGATTGCATTTTACATGGAGCTCCCCCTAAATTTAAGCCTATAAGATGCAAAACCAAATTTAAAAGGAATGATAGAATCACAGAATCATTAAGGTTGGAAAGACCTCTAAGGTCATCGAGTTCAACGAGCAGTGCCAAGTCTATCACTAAATAGTATTGAGCAAATGAAGGAGTGAGGCTGTGACACTATGGACAACCTGCAGCTGCATTTCTGGAAAGCACTTTTCAGACCAGAGCCATAACCGTTTCCTGTTCTTGGAAGAGTCACTAGCTCTGGTTTGAAGGAAAGTATATAATCAATAGCACTTATTTAAATCTACAGTGCTAAATCTTCATAGCTCTCCTGTGTTCAAAACAATGCATTTCTCAGGGAGGCAGGGTGCTTGATTCACCATAGCCCTAAGGGAGTTATAACAGTGCTCTTTTCCCCATATTTATGATTTTCTCATTTTTATGTTTCATGATTTATGATTTTAGTCCCTTCTCTCAGAAACAAAAATTCACAAACTTTTGAAGTCTCTTGTAGAATAACAGTAATCTCTTGTTTGTTACCAAACAGGAGGACACATTGTATAGCACACCTGGTGTGTTTGCTGTTGAAGTATGTAATTCTTGCTTGCCTTTGATTAAATTCTTACTAGGCTAAAGAAAATATTTCATAAAAATCCCTTAGACTGGATAAATTTTTCTCATTTTGAAATGTCATAAACAGCTCAGAACTCAACCAAACTCTCTGAAATTGTTGCAGACTGAGCTTCTGGTACTGTATGTAGCTTCATAATAAAGATTAGGGAAAGCACTGAAAATTTTAGTAAGGGAGGACCTCAGATAGCTCAGTAAATTGAAATTAACATCACAGTGACACAGTCAGCCATCAAAGGAATTGACTGATCTGTAAAATATCCCTATCCCATTAGTTTTCAGCCTGACTGTGATGTGGGGGCACTTATGACTGCAGGAGGGGCTGACACCCAGGTGGCAGTGCCCAGGGCTGCTGGGGGAACAGGGCAGTGTATGCACACATAATGTACACCCTCCTTAGCAGCACAGTGCTGTGGCCCCTCCTGAACTCACGTACCTGCGTGTCCATCCGGAGCACAAAAGGGAAAATGAGGCAAAGTTTTCAGACCTCTGCCTTTGCCATCAGAGCCTGTTTGCATCCTTGGAGACAGCAGATGCCACCAGCATCCCAAAGCAGCTGCAGATGCAGGGCTGAGAGCTTTCACACCGCACACATGACTTTTTCTACAAATGCAGAGCAAACCCAGGTAAAGTTTTACCAGCTTTAATTTATCTTTTGGTGTGGTAATGAAAAGGATCGTCATCAAAGAGGATAAGGACCATTAAAAACCCAATATTTTGCTACAGTGATTGGTTTATGGCATCATTTGGCAGTTTTATTTATCAGGTGTGCAGCTTCATTGCGTGTCTTACAGCCCAGGCGCTTCAGGAGTTTGTTATCTGCAGGACACTGTACTCCTGCTCCAGAATAGATGGTATCTGGCACAGGAATTGTTCTGGGGCAAACTTTACAGTAGACCTGTTTCTCCAATCTGTCAGCCAGTTTTGGCTCTCTGTCTCCACAGTCTTCTGTGAAGACAGTAGGAAAAAATGTAGGCTGGAGATCACACCTTGAATTGCTGATAGCTTTTGCTGAAAAACTAGTGTTTTACAAAGCACTGCTACATGAAAAATAGCTGTACATCAGTTTCTGCTATTGCCTGCTCTTAGTTAAACCAGATCCAAATTTTGTCTTACCACTTAGGTGATGGAACTTTCACTATCTCACACCTTTGAAGACAGGAAGAACAAAACAGTAATGCCTGGAAATTGCCCTGCTGTTTCTTCCACAAGGCAAAAGCTCACACAGTTGAAAGCTGTAAACATATTCCAACTCACATTTATTCACGTTACTGCTTTCACATTGATGTGGTGCAAGATACTGCTCATGTCAGAAGGGGCCACAGACAGGCCGCAGTAAACCCTTGATGTCTTTTAGACCATGAATTAATACTGTACTCAGGACATTAATAAATACTTGAAAAGTCTGTAAATGACCAACATTGAACTCCTTTGTAAAAGTATTTACCTTATTTAAATGGATTTATTTTTATGTCAAAATACATTACACCATGAAGTGATGGATGCAACTGTTCTGACAAATTGTGTGCACCTGATATGGTCTTTATCACTGCTGCAAGTCTCATAAGTTTGGGATTGAGCAGGAAGTGATGAAGATTCTGCAGAGCCAAAAAAGATTTGATCTTAAGAAGCTCGTTTTGCTCTCATTGAAAGCACAGCAGCACTTCCCAGGGAGATCCTGTGGGCTGGTGCTCAATGATCTGATGCTCTGGCAATGACTCACTCCAGGGTGAAATGCTGGATGCTTCAGCCTCAGCCCAAAGATGAAATGTTGGATGCTTCAAGCTCCTCTGAGCTCTCTGAACACACCACAGCTCCTTGCATGAACGTGTGCATGCGTGTGTGCGCCGCTCACCATGCCCATGGAGCAAAGTCCAGCAGCCACGCTCACAACCCATGTCCCTGGCCGCGCCCTTTAGACACAGCCTTCGTGGCAGATGTGGTTGCCATTGATCAGGCTGAAGGTGGCCAGGGAGTGGTTGGTGCTCTTGAGGGAGGTCATTCGTGTGGTGCTCCTGGCCATGCTGTGGGAGCGGATGAGGAGGCGAGCTCTGCAGCACGGCAGCTGGTTGTTGAACTGCTTCCGAAAGCTCTTGCTGAGCAAGTAGAGAGCAAAGGGGTTGACACAAGAGTTAGTGAAGGCCAGGATCCGAGCACAGATGCTGGCGATGAAATGCAGCACTGAGGTGTCCACCTCGGAGTAGTGGTAGGACCGGTACAAGTAGATGATGTGAGTGGGCAGCCAGCAGAAGGCAAAGAGGCACACGAAGACCAGCACGGTCCTGGCCAGGCGCTTACGGGACTCAATCTGCACGAAGGAACAGAAACACAGCTGAGCTGCTGCTCCTAGCTCCGACCAGGGGCTGACTATTTTTGCCAGTGCTGCAACTTTCCAGCTAACATATGGCAGGTGGTACATCCAGAGCAGAGAAATCTGGACTGCAGGTGAACACAGTCAAGAATTCTCCTTGTCTCTCCTCAACCCCCTTCCCTTATAAACAATTAATTCTGAGAATTTATTACATAAGAAGTAGTCTTTCTTTTCCTTTCTGTTTAGAGATAAAATTCAAGTGGCTTGTCACTTTGCAAAATCCCAGCTCTGGCAAGAAAAGTGTGGACAATATGCATTAGTTATCCACACATAATGTATACAATCATATGTAATTTTAATAAATCACCTTATTATTATTCCTATTATTATAATTAATTATTGTGTAGGAGTCTGGGATATTTCACGGGCAGGACATTCTGCCATGGGGCCATGTGGTGTATGTACACAAAAGTGCTGTCAACAGCTGCACAGCCCTTTACGACCAAGTCCAGCACTCAGAGTCTGGAGGAGATGGAGGAACAGGGAAAGGATATTCTGTACTTGGAGGAACACCAAGGTGGCAGCAAGGTGAACCCTTCAGCTGAAAGCACTGGAGCCACCAGGAGAGAGCTACAGGTGGTGAATAGATGGATGACCACCTCTCACACAGTCTGAGCTTTGTCAGGGAAAGGTGATTTCACAAAGCCAGATAGCACGAAGTCTAACCTTCATGCAGACCAGCCACGCTTCCCTTTTACTTACTTCTACAGGCCTGGAGTCAACCCAAAGGTATTGCTCAACTGAGGGGAGCTGAGGTAAACCATACCTTGTCTTTTGCCCATAAGTGGTGTACATTAAGATAACAAAGCCACTGAAAAACACATCTCTCTTCCTTATGAATGCAAAAGCCACGAAGGAGGTTGCCCAAAATGAGAGGACAGAGAGTTGCCCAGAAAAACCTGCTAAAATGCACTGCTCCTTGGGAGAGGTTATGCAGCCAGAATTTGAAGGATTGGAAAATGTAACACTGCTGATATTTTAGGGCTCCCTAATGTTCTCCTCTGTGGTAATCCCACTAATGCTCCCCAGACACTCCTAGAGAATTAGCTGCATCCCACTTCTTGTACTTAAGTAAGATGTGAATGGCCTGCAACTGCTCCTAGCCTCAGCCCTGCTGCCCTTGCTCCTGCCACAGTGCCTGGCCAGGCTCCCAGGACACTGCCCCATCCTCACTCTGCATCCAAGCTCCACAGGTAAAACAGAAACTGAGCATCTTACACAGGCTAATCTATTCTCAGGACAGCTGCAAGCAGGAAGCAGGCAGGAGAGACATGGCAAGCCCATTTGAACTTTATTTCATGCCCCTTTAATGGCACTGACTAAAAATCAGCCATTGAGCTCAGGAAGGACTGACATGCACCAGATGATAACATCTCCAGCAAGCAGGCTGAAAATTAAATCCTTTGAGAAAGGGCTCTCCTTGGCTAAACCATATATTCTTTTAAAATGTATTCTTAATTTGATATAGGGCTATTGAGGCCACATCTGCACTATAAAGAAAGGAAGCAATGCAATAAAGAAATCGATACCAGTTATCTCAGATGGAGATGTATAGCACTTGAATGCACTGCAGGACGGGAATGATGGACAGAGGGTGCTAGACCAGCCTGGCCTTTTGCTTTCTTTAAGAGCTTTCTCCCCAAAACCAAAGGGGAAAGGACTGCACTTTATTGCCACTAATCAAAACAGCCATTGAATCAGCAGAGAAATGGCCTGCAGGGGAAAAGATTGAGGCACATTCAGAAGGGAAAAAGGATAAGGATTTCAGGGATTGCACATCATTTGATGGGCAAAACCTGAGCCCTTCCAGCCTTACTGCTTCAGCATAACACCTGAAGGCTGTGTAAGATGATTTTGTTGGGTCAGTCTAAGGTGGAGGTGTCAGCTGGGTGCAATTGAGTGGACAACTGCTCAGCTACGAATGGCTGGTGTTAGTTTAGCTGAGGCTGAAGCACACCTCAGTTAAAAAGAAGAGGTAAGGCAAATAAGATAAATATGTCAAGGTAAATAGGTTGTTTAGAAACAGACAAGGCTTCATCCAAGGTCCTCTCTCTGACAAAGCAACTTCGTGAAGTTTTGATTTTCTCCCATACCACCCCTTTGCTTCAATCTGCAAACACTGTCTGCTCTGCCCCTTTGCCTGCATCCTAGTCAATGCCTTCTCAGGCTTTGGCAATGGTCTCCTGATATGCTTGCCATGGTAACCATGCCACCAAAATCTCTGAAATTACAAAGAGGAGGAGATGCTTTAACTGTTTAGCCCTGTATTATAGCTTCTTTCATCCATTTTAATTATTTTACCCCACCTAATCTATTAAAATCAGTACCACAGACACCGTCTGTCACAGTGGAAATTTCCCTGTATTCCCTCTTTCCTCCCAGACTCATAGAGAATGTGGATTTTTGAAGAGAGTCAAATCTCTACCTGTTTTCTCACATGCACATTTCCTTCCACGGGGATGTTGTAAGCACTCCGGATCAAATTCTTAGCAATAAAGTAATAATACACTGAAATTACAGACAGGGGAATAATATAAAATATGAGAAATGATGCCATTGAATGGATTTTGGGATGCAGCCCATCTGAATGAGGGTAAGGAGCACAGCTGATAAAGGTTTTATTAGTCCCTTTGTCATGGAAAGGGTGCAGATCTGAAAATACTGCTTCAGGGATGGCAAGCAACATGGATACAATCCAGATTATAGCAGCTCTCACACAAATCTTCATCAGTGCATGTGATGCTTGGATCTCCATTGGCCTTACTATAGCTTTATACCTAAAAAAAAAAACAAACAAAAAAAGGATATAGTTTATTTACTTCAACATTCAAACATAGTATTCCTGCTTTTCCCTTCTATTCAGAAATAAAACCACAAAATAATTCTTTACTTGTGACTGGATTTTTTTGTTTCAATATTTTCAATAGATTTCTCAATTTAAACCAGAGCCACCTGTCATCAGTTCATTCAGTTTCATGTGTATTGATTATGAGTTCATTTAATTTGTAATTGACCCAACAAAGCACAGGGCTCCCTGTCATTAACATGTTAATTAATATTAATGACATTAAAATGTGTCCAAACAGCATTAAGACAGGAAGTGCAATCATAGGCTTCTCTTCCAAAGTGTACAGCAGCTTACACCCCAGAACAGTGTCGAATGAAACTGGGCTGAGATTTTGACACACTTTTCAGGCTGTGAGTATAGCAGTCTCCTGCAAACCTTATTTTTTCTCAAGCTACAAAGAGCATGCTGCCTGCTTAATTGCTGTTTGGTGGTGCAGTTGGCAAGAGTTTTCCCTAACTCAATGCATTGAGGTAAAGTAGCCAGAAGTGCTAACTGAGTCTCTTGCAGAAAAAAAACACCATTATTGCTTACTATTCTAGATACATAGAGACATTTTTTTTATTTGAAATTTTGTCTTTCATGATTTCAGCCTTTCAGAAAATTGTACTTTAGAATCCAAGAATATCAAATAATTAAATTTGTTTGAAATTGGTGTGTGTAATGAGAGGAATGGAAAACATCAGAGCTTAATATATGCTGGAGCCCTGCTCTGGCAGGATTTGACACTCCAAGCAAGCCACAATTCACATATGCATTTAAAGAACATAGTAGAAGAAAAAAAAAGATAATTAGGAAGGGGTATCTACAGGTTTCACAAATTGGCATGGAGGGTCATATTCTAACAGTTACAAACTTGGATATTTCTTCCAGGATATGCCTCCCTCTGCCCATGGTGCACTTTGCTCCCCTTGGTCGCTTTTCCCTGGGGACCGGTGTGTGCCTGGGTCCTGGAGGGTCCCAGCTCTCTTTGGCATGCAGGGTACATCCCATCAGCTCCTCGAGTGCATCTCTAAGCTTCTTCCAGCATCCTGGCTCCTTCAGGCAGCTGCAGTGGGCACTGGGGTGGGAGCAGGCAGTGAGCACAGCACCGTGCCCGAGCGTGGGCACACAGCAGGGCCCCCCATGCAGCAGCACAAACCAGGCTCTACGGGCACCCCTGAGTCCCCACCTGCTATAGCCTGCATTATCCTCAAGCTCAGCATTTGACAGAGGAGTCCATCAGTCCTGAACTGTTTTAACTGGGTAATTGCTGTATTTGCAGGGAAAGCATGCATTCAGCTTCTGATTTTATGCAATATCCTGCTCAGCACACCCGGCTTTCCCTCCATGGTATCTACATATCTTGAATGGATTTTAAATACATACACATATTTATTTGTATGTACAATCATATATACATAACTACATATATAGTTGCATACTTATTTTTATGATGACTGTATCTAGACATTTGCAGGTATTTCTTCATACAGGTATCTTGTGTAGAGGACTTTTCCTTTCATGTACTACAAACATCATGCTCAGTAGTTTGCTGTTTAAACACTTATTCTCCAAGCTCTGCAGCTCCCCTTTTTCTTCCAGCTGCAGTGGCCAGACAGTATTTTAAAGGCTTGCTTAACACCTCTTTAACTTTCACTCTGAAAATTGTAGATTAAGTGGTGTCATACCACAAAGCACAATCTTCCAGCACCAGATCATAAAGTCAGGCGAAGAACATCACAGATCTTAAACAAATATGATGCTCTGGCTATTGCAGTCATAAAACAGAAGTGCTAGGCAGATTACTAAAGGAGTGGTGTTGAAATAGCTCAATTTATAGTCTCATTGACCAGATATAGATTATTGACAGAAACATTAGCTCGCTGAAAGTTTTCAGTAAATCTTAAAGAAGAGAAATGCAAAAGAAAATTAATAATATATCAAGGTATTAGCAAATTTAGTTGATTCAAAGGTCTTTCTGCAGATGTTTACTGTGTGCTTATCAACATGACATGTTAGCATGATTATTTCAGGGGTTGTCTTACAAAACACAGCTGAGAGAAAATTTTCTAGTATTATGTTCCAGGAACATGGATAAGTTAAAGAATATAGAGAAACTGTTTAACTTTTATGAACATTAACAAAGTTGGAAGAGCCAGAAAATTACTCCATTTCAAGTTACTGGTGTATTTTAATCAGAGATAATCAGGCATATACAAACAATTTAATTTGGACAGAACATAATTACAAATGTCTAGGAAGCTGGCACTGACTACTAAGCATTTAGAATATTTTTAAAGCCTCCTACAGCAGATGTAAGAGAAGATATGAGAGAGGTTTTGCTTGCAAGGGGTTCAGTGTAGACCCAAAGGATGGGCGTGAAAGAACAGAAAGCTAAAACAGAGGAAACAAAACTAGAAAACAGATTTTGAAAATATAAGTTCTTAGGTGCAGAGCCACGGTAGGTACTTTCTTAATAGCCTGACAATCAAATAAAATTTATTTTGCTGACTATCTACATGACTTCCTTGATGGTAGGTTAATTCAAGCAGAAATCTCTAGTAATGTCTGTTAGTCTCCAAGTATTGATGTGTGTCTGATCAGTAGTGATCTGGTAGGAATCCCCATTTCCAGCTGTCTTGCTGATGTGTCAGTGGGTCTCTCCAGTTTGTGTTTCAGCACTCTGCTTTCCCATGCCAGCTCAGGCTCTGGACAGCAGCAGCAGGGGCTGCTCCTGAGGATGCTATACATGAGGAATTGGCCCTCCAGGCTGGTGCTTGGGCTGGGACACCACTAGATTTTCCTGTTGCTGGTGTTCAGGGTGTGAAAAAGCTGCACCTCCTGGTTGGCTTCTAAGTGGGGCTCAGAAATGCCTTCACACTTTTCCTTTTCCATTCTACTTTCTTGGCAGGGTCAAACCTGGGGTTTACAATTTATTTGACATTTCTCCATAACTTCATCCAGGTAGACTGGACTTGAGTAGCAGCTCATTCTGATTTTCAGTATGTGTATTTCCAGTTTGTATGTCAAATAATATTTCAAGTTTTCACAGCTTTGTCCTCTGCAATTTGTTTTTCAATGAGTTAGCCTGAGGCACACAGCTTTCCCATATTTAACATCCAGCATGTGAATATTTCAATCCACTTTGAAGCAGACATTGATGAATATACCTATACACCTTAGAGGAGCCATGGCTCTCATGGAACTGAGCTTTCATGCATAATTTTTAGCCCAGGTCATAACATGGCCTCGGAGAATGTGAGTCCCATTGTACGCTTAACTCTCTGCAGCAGAGCTAGGCATGGACCTGGACTGATCACCTCTGCTGCTTGCACATTCAATCTCTAATTATTGATTAATTGTTTGAAATATATATATTCTTTTCAGCTAAACTCCTTTCCCTATCAGTTTTTAAAGAAGTTTTTTAAAAAGTTTAAAAACCAGAGGTATGATTCATGCACTGCAACAAAGCCCAAAACTCCAAAATATACCTGTGAAGACTCATTTGAATAAAAAAACACACATGAGTCAAGAACTCATGCCACTCATGCCACATGAGAATGACTAGGCTGCTGATCTGATTGGAAATATGAAAGAGATGCTGACATTACTACTGCTCAGTCTTTGAAGCTCTCTGTTCCCACTGGTGCAGCAGCAACCTGCCAGGTACACTGCAGCTGCCAAGGACCTCCCAGCCAGGATGGATGCCAGTCAGCTCCTTGTCTTGAAATCTCACTCAAAGAAGCCCTCAAAATAAATTACTCATGGGGCTATGCTAAGTGTGCTTAATGTAAGTGGAATTCATGAGGTACTGTGAGGATTCCCCTGCTAAGGAAATCCTCCCCACACCAGCCACAGTGACTCTGGTGCTGTTCCTGTTCTCCAGGGCAGTATCCAAGCCCCCAAGAGAAAGCTGGTGATTGTGTTGCTTCAACCCAAAACACCTGATCATTTTTTAACCTAATCCTAAAAATTCATTGTGGATTGGTAGGAATCCACAGAGCATGTGCATCTCCACTGAATCCTTGAAAACATCTTTTACACATCCCTTAGGATCTCTATTGTGCTCATTGAGTAATTGTTTCTCACAACTGAAACTACTGAAATTACCATGAACCACTAAAATGTGGCATACCCACATCTGTGGTGAATACTTTTCCCACTGAGGTTAGTATGCCAGAGGAACAGGAAAACTCTGTCATTGTCCATGTTAATAATAATAATGTAACTAATGATAGCATCACCTAATGTACTCTAAAGCTTGGAGTATGCAAACATTGGTTAATACCATGCACTTAGCCCCAAAGCTGCAGCTTCAAATATAAACACAGAAGTAGCTGCAGCATGAAAAAGACACTTACAGATAAATTGCCCACAGATACCAACCAAAATATGGCCTCAAATGGATGTCAGTGTTTCCTAGGTGTAGTTTCTCTGTTGGTTCAAAAATATTTTATCCATCTTTGTGCTCCTCAGCTGAGCCAAGAAAATACACGTCACCTGAAGCATAAACAGGCTTTGCCTTCAAAGCCATACTGCCTATATGTTTCTAAGCATAGAAGGGCTGCAGTTTTGCTCTCTGGGCAAGAAAGGACCTGATCCACAAAGACTGCAGCTTCAGTGCTTCCTTCATGGCTTTTTCCTGTCACCTTCATCCACTTACTTATGCCTGCTATAACAGCCAAAAAAATTAAATGAAAACAACTAAAGCATGGGGAGGAAAATCAGATGTTTCCCTGGGATTTTAAATTAATTTAGCACCATATGGCTAAGTCTCTGGTTTGTTATTTTATTTTCTTTAGGGAAGTAACTTTATACTGTGTGGAGAAGCTGGTGGTGTAGGCAGCCTCAACTTGCTCTTGTCTTCCATGACTGCTTTGTATTAATGCCTTTCTCGCTTCCCTTATGACAGCAAATAAAACTAATGTAGATGACCCAGGTGTGTAAGGA